CTGATTAAGTATTACAAAATCCAATCATTGACAAAAAGTTATAAGCTGCCAAACTATATTTGCTATTACTCCACGTGAAAATGAAAGTTATTTATTTTTATATATATACAATTTTTTTCTCGTTTAGATATTAAAATTCTTGGCGTCTAGGGAGGCAGAAGGTCGAAATATTTTCAACGTTTCGTTATGCAAAAATTTTAATAGAAATAAATTACAAACGGTAATAAAAGGACAACGGACTTTCAGGTACAGTTACAGATATAATGAGGGGTGGAGGGAGGGAGAATTCTCAGTATTTTTTATAATTTTATCATCATCATTAATGTCCCCACTTTTGGAACACAGACTTTCCCTGCGGATGGAATTTAGTTTCTTTTATTTTAATTGCTAGTTACTCGATTACTTAATTACTCGATTGTAAAGAGAGCGTGATCATCGATACTTTTAATTTTATTAGAATGGTGACACTGACTTTGACAGTTCGTTAATAAAAGCTAATTGCCGCCATTTTTGGCACACATTCTGTTTCCGATCGCCGAGGAGTAAAGACACCCGACGACATCACGCTCATCTCGTTATATTTTCGTATGAAAAGTGATAAAATAGAACAAATCCACGTTGGTATACACGCCTGCAGTGTTATTTTAAAGATAGTCCTCCGATATGGACTATCTGTTTCGGCTTCGTAAAAACCCCTTCTGACTACCCTCCAATATATATATATAACTCGACATGGAAAGGCTACCAAAATTGATAATTTTATTTCTAAAATAAGTATAGTGAGAGTAATTTTCGTCGAGACAAATTTTACCCTGTTTTGACGATAAGACTTCAGCATTACTTATAAAAGCCTACGTTAATTATACTCAGAACTTTTATCATGAATTTCGTTTGTCAAAATTTTAAACAGACAGGAACTTTATTTCATAAAATATAAAATACTAATAAGTTTCATATCTTTAGCGGTTAAATTTTCTTTGGAAATTTACCAAGCAAAAAACATATTAATTTTAATGGTTTTTTCTTTTATGGTTGTGTCGGTGGAAGTTGGCTATGACAGATATATAAACAAACAATTAAGTGATCCAGTAGTGATTCAAACGTTAGCTTTTAAGAACCTTGATGATTAGCTTTGAAGTATGGAATCCTAAATAACAAAGGTGTGGGATTAAAAATAACCACAATTGTAACAATATTTGTTTATTGAAGAGACAAAACTCTTGCTCCATCGCTTGGTTGACAAACAAAAAATGTAGGATTTCCCTTGTATTGTTCTAGAATTTTCTTCTTTACATTCTCCACCTCTGATTTTTGAACCTGTAAACGAACGATAAGGAAACACATATTAATACGGTAAGAGAACATGTGGATGATACATTTAGTTTCCATTTATCGTAACGACTATGTCAGTCACAATGTGTGCGAGGTTTGAGTGTGACACTTTTATAGTAATTATAAATACTATAATAAAAACGCAGCTGATCGATAACTGTACATTAAAGATATATGAAAAAAAAACTATTATAAGTGGTATTTGTAAAATAATGATTTTTAAAATTTTTGTCTGTTTGTTCGTTTATTTGTACATACTAATCTCAGTAACGGCTGAACCGATTTAAATGTTGTTTCTACTATTGTATTATGGTAATCTTCCGTTAACATTTAGTGTATGTTTTATTTCAATCGGTTCATTAATGAAAAAGGTAATATCAATTTGAAGTTTTGCGTTCGACAGAATTGCCATGAATTGACTGCTTTATTAAATTTTAGTATTTTATGTATTGATCGTCCGCATCAGCTCTTTTACGTCCCCACGGCAGGGATTCAAGCCTCTTTTTAATAATTTTTGGTCACCTATCCCGTGAGCAACTCTTGCGAAACTTATTTTAATATGCGGGCTTAATGCGGATCTAGGAATTTTATTCTACCTCGTTTGATAAATAAACTACCGTGCGATCTTAGAGATAAACTTGTAGAAAAAAATATTAAATACGAATTAAAAAAATATTTTCTTTCTTAGAATAGTACCATCATCAAGCGTTTGCTGGATTGTCAAAAATTGTGATTGATTTGAATCTACTTAATTTGTATATGTGATTGAAGTAATTAAAATAATTGTAATTAATATATTCAAACAAATATTAATCTGTATTATGTAATGTCTTATAGTTATTTAAGTTTTTTGTAATGTAATTTATATAAATTCTTGCATGTGTTACGAACCTTAGTGGTTTACATGATGCAAGTAAACCAAATTATGTTAACCACAAAGTTTGTTGATAATTAAATAAAATAAATAAAAAACAAATTTAGCAACAACGATCACGGGCAGCGATGCATATCGGTTTTGATATTGTAAGTAGAATTATAATATGTACGATGATAAATAGAAAAGTAAGTTTCCAAAATCGAGTAGTCAAGAGTGAACGCACATATGAGGTTTTCGATAGTAATTTTTTATCACGTTGGGTTCACGTCATCAGGGCCAGCGGAGGTGGTTAGCAGCCACTACAGTGTTGCACGGTATCACTTGTCTGGGAGAGGCTCTCGATGTACTCGAGCCTCCTCAATTTTCCATCTACGAGGGAACCAATCATCCAATACTTGAGTCTCCTGGTGATTCCCGGCTTCCCCTGTTTCATCTCCCACAGTAGGAATTTTGGCAGGTTAAGCCTGCGGGAAGCCACTGTGGCGCCGGAAGTGTTCACGAAAAAAAGTACTACTCACCCCCTGTAGCTTTCCAGGAAACAGGGACAGTATCAGAAGCCTTTACTCAACATTAAAAAAAAAGGTTCACGTCTTAGCAGTTACTTTTGACAGGATGTTCGACAGGACTAAATTTATTTGTAAGAATGTCTCGAAAAAAGCTTCACTGATGAAGATCGTATAGCGATGTGTTAGGAATTTCAGTCCAGGTTACGGACAGGGCTGATACCCCACCTACCCCCTGTGGGATTAGCTCCAAGAAAAGTTATCGTTAGCAATGAAACAAAAACACTTTTTTGACGTCGTCAGTCGAATCGAATAAGATAATGGGCCATAACCCACTATACGGGCTTAATGCGGATCGGTGGGTGTTAACGTTGCTGATGCAGCTAGGAATAATGGCTTAACGTGCATTGTGCCAGTGTAAGGCACAGTGATCAAGATAACAATGAAACAAAAAAACTTTATTAACACACAATTTGCTATTAGTTAGAGATTGTCTTTTTTACCTTTACACCTTAAAAACATTTCTAAAATTTAGCCTTAAAAACGTTATTCCCCTACCACTCGTTCAGGACGTCTTTTAGCTGACAAGAAGAACAAGCTAAAGAAATTTACCAGCCTCTTTATCATAAGTAATAACATTTATATAAATCATATCATTACCAAATAGTACGTATTATAACATTAATATCGTTAAAACAATTTTCAAAGTCTGTATGACATAGGTTGGTACATATAATTAGTCATTATAGAACAAAGTGAAGGCTATTAATTCCATGCATTGCGGTCATTAAAATAATCATCAACTTTAAAGTAGCCTTTACTCATAAGTATGTTCTTTACATGAACTCTTTAGTATTATTTATTTGTAAAATAATCATCACGTACTTTACTATAAACTCGTAGTGATTCTCATTACTCTAAAGTTACTGTAGCTGCTAAGAGTCGATAAAATATACATAGCCCAGCGACCGGTGAGTAAACATATCAATCATGGAGGTCGTTAAATGGCTCTTCTCAATAATATTTCGTGAAGTAAAGAATGGAGTTTTGTATGAAACTTTAGCGGAAAATTTATACTAGAGGTCTGAAAATTGAAACAGAAACTGTTTGTTGTTTATACACATCATAAAAGAAATTCACTTCCCACTGTATATACGCTGAGATTTTATAATTTAGACTACGGATTTTAATGCGGTTAAGGCGGTAATATACAGGGTGATTCAAGAGAAAAGTTTGTATGATTAATATAGACCATGCGGGTGAAGTCGCTGGTGTAAAGCTTGATGAGTCTTATATAGATCTTTTAACTAAGATATAGAGTTTGTAGAGTTACTGCATGCGAAGTGAGAAGCTTGGCTCTACTTATGAAATGAAAACTTATGACAATCTATACGTATATAATAAAGAAGAAATAATTTATTGTGTATTAGTTTATTTTCACCGAATAGGCTCGGATAATATTGGACTGATTTTGAAAATGCTTGCACCTACTGGAAAGTACGTCATACGTATAACTATACATAATATGGTTATAACTTACGCGGGCCAAATCGCAGGAAAACAGTCAGTATATAATATAATATTGCATAACAGCATAGTGTGTGTTATTCAACCCTTATAGTGACCATTAATGATAATAATAACCTGTCCTCATTGTGCTGGTCGTTCACACGACCTATTTCCCTGTGTATCCAGTGCACGGCTTAATATTAATTAAAAGGTATTATTTTCATAATGAGTATGCGTACTGGCTCGTTTACACTTCCAGCAAACATAAATATCTATTAATAGCGTGTTTAATGGCATAACACAATAATGCAGCTCAGAACATAAGACTATTTAAATATTTCTCTCTTAGACCAAGATTTTGTTCAAGTATTTTCTGCAGATACCTCAATCCAATGCGCTTTATCACACGTAAGTATAAAATCAACGAATGAAGCATATAATAAACAACTCCCGAAAACCAGAGCAGACTCTGTTTATTACTGCATATTGATTTTAGGATATTTTAATATTAGACTCGAACTATTCTAGAACTGGAAAATAGACACTTGGTGGTTTTTTTGTCGAGGTTTTGTCGTTAATTGGTAATTATTTAAATTTCCAATTTCAGCTCTCAGTATTCTTTCCCCCCCCCCCCCCCGGAGTACAAATTTGCATCGAACCGTGTGAATTTACAACATTCATTGGCCAATAAGTTACCTATATTGTTTCTATGCTTACGTTCACACACAATACACACATAACATAACAACTTGTTCAGAAATACACACACACAAACAGTAAGATTATTTCATCACTTTAGGTCGTTTCAAGTATCTCCTACGGAGCTTGATCTGCAATTAAGGTCTTTATTTACTAATTTAATTTTACACACAAACTATACCTACATACAACACACATTTCTGTTAAAAAGTAATTTTGTAACAGAAATTTTGTATCATCAACGTGCATTATCTCTTTTATGATGAGAAAATAAAAACCTTATTATCATTTATATCTTTGATCTTTGGGGGAGGCCTATGCCCAGCAGTGGGCGTCTCTTGGCTGATATGATGATTATCATTTATATAGGCTTCTAGACACTTTAGAGTTTTAACACTGTAGTAATGTAAACTTACCAATACAATAACACAGCCACCGAAACCCCCTCCAGTCATCCTCGCGCCGTACAATCCCGGCATGCCCTTCATGATATCCACCAGCTGATCCAACTCTGGACATGACACTTCCATCAGTTTGCTAAGGGATTCATGTGATTGAAAGAATAAATCGCCAACCTGACAAAATTAAAACACAATGAAATATAGACAAGATCATAAGCTATTGTATAAAGGAAATCTATAACAATCAAAGTATCATCATCAATCCTGTATCGTCCCCACAACAGGGGCTCAGACTGCGGATGGTTAAAGAGAATGGGCCATAACCAATGCAGATTGGAGGGTTTTAATGACTACGAATGCAAACGTGAAAAACGGATTGACGACTTTCCGAAGTACGGAGTAGCTCTAGATGATAATTTTTTGGTCACCAATCCTACAGGATTGGCAAGCAAACTAGTCAGTCACGATCGACCCTTGCGAAAGCTGCTTAAACCTATACGCGGACCGTATCCACTACTCTATTGAACTACTGTATAACAAAGTATTCAACCACCAAAACCCTACATTAATTATAGAATAAATCATTTTCTACACTACTACCCCGGAGGATAAAGACACTAAAATCTTCGATTTACAATATAAAAGTAGATATAAAATAAAATTACTATAATTGATTCACCAGACCGTGTAGCATGACTTGAAAACGTTTTGTCTACGCCCATCTACCAGTTTTCTCAGATACTTCGATACGAGATCTCGAGTCGAGAAAAGTGGCGTTTGGTATAGTGTAGACAAAGCATTTCTCGAGTTTATAAAAAACATAAAAAATGAGAGTTTATAAAAAACATAAAAAATGAGAGTTTAAAAAAACCATAAAAATGAGAGTTTATAAAAAAACATAAAAAATTAGAACTCATCACAAGCGACTAAATACTTTATTAAGAATATTGTGGACTTACCGTCTTCATGTCCTTCTCTATGAGACTCTTTGCTACTTCTTCAGTTCTGTAAATCTCTTCGATGACGTGCCTGGCCCTCATTATAACCAACTTATCACACTTTAACTGTTCCAATTCTGTAATTAAAATTATAATGTGCTCTTTCAAAAACAGTAATACACTTATAAAACCCTGTTACTAAACTCATATGTTATTTATATCTTAACCATAATGTGTAGCTTATGGAATGTTTCCCTCTAATTCGACAAAAGAGACAGTTACCTAAATTATATTTAAATAGGATTAGGTCTGAATAATAGATTAATGCTGAAGGACATATAGGATCATAATCCGTTGAGTCAGAGATGTAGAGCGGTTTAAAATTAACTGTCTAATGTGACATTTGGTGCCATCCAATTCATTCATTAAATAACGAAGTTGTATATTTATCTTAAATTAGGCTTCGCCCGCGTGGTCTAGTTTTCATACTTCTAACTAAAAAAATGGGAAAATTTTCATAAAAACTTCGCCCCAATATTTTACCCCCTTAGAGGTTGAATTTCCAAAATTCCTTTCTTATGCTCACTTACCTCAAGAATTTCAAGTTTCTAGCTACAGTAGTTTCAGTTGTGCGTTTTTATAGAATTCGATCACGTTTATTTACCCCATAAATATACTTACTTATCAAGCCTAGTCAGCCATTACATTTACCATCCAACACCTAAGCTTCGAAACCATCACAGATGTCACCGTTTATCCACGACTTTGCGCGTGTATATTTATAGCTAATGTCACCTGCGTATAATGTAACTTCCTGTAAGTGAAAGAGTTTTTAAAATCGATACAGTACTTTCCAAGCCTATTCAATACAAACTAACAGACAATCGAATCTCTGGTTATACACCCTGCACACGCAAAACAGTTGCAAATTAGACATTTTGTTGCGGAGACGCTCGTACGAAAAAGAAGATATATCTTCTCTACTTTTAGATAACAGCGAATCGTAATTTCTAGTTAAAATGTAATTCGACTTATGTGTTGTGGGATAGGAGAAACCTGAACGTCTGAGTGTCATCGTCAGTGAAAAAAAAAATAGTCTGACATAAATTTTGTTTTTCGTATATCATTTATTATTCGATTGTATAACTCAGTTCTGTCAGAGGAAAAAGATTGATTGTTATATCAAGTTCTGTTAGAGAAAAAGATATTAAATTCTAGGCCATCGTCGCAGCGTGCGAACTTGATTGTGTGGCAGAAAACCGCCGACCGAAATTAAAGCGTAAGCTCGCCGAGTTCACTCAGCCAGCTTTGATGGCAAAGGAGATAGCGGCACGACACAGACTTTTTCTCAGTGACCCGATATGTATTCTAAACAGACTGATTTTAGTTTTAAAATGTTTTGTTAGTTTTGTTTTCGTATGTCATTTGTCAGACGTCAGAAGGAGCAGAAAAAGATATCAAAAAACATTAAATATACACAATCAATATAAACTTAGATTAAGTTGAATAGGAATAAGGAAATAAATAATAACAAAGTTTTACAATAATACTGTTGGCAAAATATCAGATCGCTCATTGTTGTCATAAGAATTTAAAATTATTTATATTATTGGATAGATATATATATATAATAATATAAATAATTTTGGGAATTATTGGAAGTTATAATATAAATAATTTTAAATTCTTATGACAACAATGAGCGATCTGATATTTCGCCAACAGTATTATTGTAAAACTTTGTTATTATTTATTTCCTTATTCCTATTCAACTATATATATATATATATATATATATCCAATAATATAAATAATTTTATCAAGTACAATATTACCTACCCGGAACCAAACAGGACTGACGTTTTTTTCAAGCGCTTCTTACTTTTTCGCTCTTACAGAGAATATTTTCATCAATATTGAGACAATCCATCCAAAAAGCCGAAAAAAATATTTTTACAAATATTTTCAACATTTGATAAAGGTGAAAATTTGTTCTAGTCATTATATTTAAACAATTTTGCATTCAAAATGCTATACTGACTTTTTTAAGCATTTTTCATTAAAAATATAATTAGAACTGCTTTCAGCGAAAACTATCTTTTTATATGTTTATTTATTTTACGAAAACGTTGGATAGTTTTCTCTATTAATATAAAAGCATTGCTTTTACTTTGCTTTTTTGGTGATTATAAATTAGGTATATCCCAGGAGAAAAATAATCCTATAGCCGCACATATCTAATGACTTTTTTATTTAACTAAAAATACAAAATTTTATACTCATCAAAAGTCACTAAAATAAAAGCAGAGTTTTCAAATGACGAATCATTCCCACCCATTATGAAGAAATATTTTTAAAAAAAACTGGTGAATTTTTTAGTACTTTGTTTTAAAATAATTATCTAGAAGTATATTATAGGTCTGTGAATGAAAAATTGAATATATAGTCTGAATTACAAGACATGCATAGTCTGTTATCTTTGTTTTTGCTATGACATCGATTATAGCAAAAAGAAAAACTGCTTTCATACATTTAATAATACTAGTTCTCAGTTTGATAACAGAACCCGGACGTTTTGAAAAGTAAAATTTTAGCCATCGGTTCTATCATCTACTAAAATCAATGAAGGGATATGAAAAACAATGCCTGTTATAAATTTTATATCATATTTCACAGTAACGTTAACTACTTATTGATATAATAAAACTCCTTTTTTCTCTGTTTTAAGATTATTTTGCATTTTTATCCCAAAATTTTTAATATTATGATTTCTTTGAGGATTTTTTATAGTTTCGTTAACTGGTTTTAACTAAATATCTTACATCATTTACCCACGTTTTAAATCTTCAATCGTAGCAGATCTCAGTGAGGGTTTGCCGAGCTTATCTGCCGCTTCCTGGCACTGCGCCCTTCTCTGAGGATATTCGCTGCCTGTCAGCTGATGCTTCACATTACTGTTGACTACTAATATCGATGTATCATCGATTCTCATAGGAATCTGGGTGGATTCTAGTGACCTATAAAAATAAATAAATGCATAAGTATTCACTTAAATAAAAGTAATAACTTGAAAATGTTTTCAAGTAATAGACGAGAATTTCAATGGCGTAAGAATTGCTAATAGCTAATAATAATATTCTAACTTTAGAGCGTTCTTAGTTTATTTAAATTCTTGTATTTGGTAAAAATATTTGCTTAAATTATTACTTATACTGAAGTGGTACTATTTGAGATTCGTTTAATTTAATTTATACTAGCTTTCCCCCAGCGGCTTCGTCCGCGTGGTCCCTAGGGAACTGTTTATTCGGGTAGCGATTCATAGTATGACACAAATATGATTATTAATTACATATTATTAAATAGACTTATTATTTTAATAGGGAAATGATAACGATGCATGTCTCTATTATCAAAATAGATGGACTTCAGTACAAAAATTCAAACCCTATTTCATACTTTTTGGGGTTGAATTGTTACAATTACTTAAATGGGAAATTAGGTACTATTTTTTACCCATTAATTAGATTAATTAAAGTTTTAATCTTCTGACATAAAAACGAGGGTGTCCTTAAAAACTATATAATGAGTAAAATTGTTTGTGGGCTAAAACAGGTATTTACTATTTTTTATTAGTAAGTTGCCAAATAAAGTTTCATGTTTCTAACTTCAAAACCGACTTATTTTGACACTATCTTTCAATCTCAGTGACGCATATTAGGGGTTGAATTTCCGGAAGTTCTTATTTAGTATTTAATCCACAACAACATTTTTAACTGTGTCCATCTTATAATGATGTTGGAGTCCACGACGAGAGTAAAACATCTTAATATAGTTTTTGTATACTTTTAATATTTTCTTTTGTATTTTGTTTTATTATGTCAAAATATAGAATAAATATCGAAACCCATAGCTTTTATTTTAGAATTATTATCAAATGGTATATACAGAATATCATTAAAAGATAATAAATTTAATAGTCTTATCCTATCTGATATAACCAAATCGTGGTCAATAGAATAACAGTACTGCGCACAAAAGTAAATACTATGGAGAAACTAAAATTATGATAAAAAATATAAAATTTTTGCATAATCTTAAAACAGTGAAAACTAATGTTACCTATCAACAAGATGTTAAATATGTTCAAGAAACTGTATAAAAGTTAGAGGAAAAATATTAATAAATCTACACAAAAGTTGGAAATGAGACGCAGTGGTTAGCGCGTTCCGACTGTAATGCGGAAGTTAAGCAACGTTTGCAAAGGCCGACTATGGATGGGTAATCAAAAATGTATTATATCGAGCACCTCCGAGCATCTGTAGTAGTTATTATCAACCAATCCACACTGTGATAGCGTGGGTAGCCATAGCCCATTCTCCCTGTTACATTTGATTCGATCCCATCCTAATGATGGCCTGTGGTCCAGTAGTGAAGACATTAATTGTTAACAGACGGGTATGTGGAGCTATGGTATCAACCGAAGTTATTTACAGTACCACACAGGAGTACCAACCTACTGAACGAATCCCTAGGGATGAAACGATAAACGATGAACAGTAAATACAAGTATTTACTCGATACCAAATACTTTTGTAATCGATACTTTAGAACGAGTAACAAGTAGTATCATGAAGTTGATATTTGTATCGGTAAGATCGGTCAATCACCGAGGAGTGTCAAAAAACTCTAGTGTATAAGACTGTTTTCTCTGTGGTAAGGAGACTAAAATCTGTTTCGTAAAAAAATCTCAAAGGCGCGGCATCCCTGTCATATGACAATAAGCATTGCTTACCCCTACAATTTTATGTACTTAAAGATCTGTCTAAAAGGAATACTGCCAACATAATTTTAAATCAATACCTGATATGCTTTTAATCATCGCTTGTGATTACTGAACCTGGTTCTCTTTCTGCCTTAAACAGAGTATTATTATTGACTATCAATAGTATTAAATCTGTTCTAAAAATATTTAAAAATGACGACGACAGTGAGGTAATTTAAAAGTATTCGATACAAGTAAGAGAGCGAGTAGGTACCGATATTTCATGACCGATACAGTATCGATTAAAAGTATCGATACCTAGGTGGTATTATTTCATCCCTACGCTATCCCCAGTTCTCCACTGACGCGAGCAATACGACTTCTGAATAAAGTAATTCAAATACTTGAATTGATCAACTCATACAGTGTACGTGAGTTCACTAAAGTAGCTCAATTCATATTATATCATCATTATGTTACTAGCTTTCCGGCAGCGGCTTCGCTCACGAGATCTTGTATCATACATAAAAACCTTCCTTTGAATCACCCTATCTATGAAAAAAAAACCGCATAAAAATCCATTGCATAGTTTTAAAGCTTCAAGCATAGGGATATTGGGACAGAGAAAGCGACTTTTTTTTATACTTTGTAGTGATAAAAATAGCCATTATGGTAAAATTTCGGTACAAAATCCTGAAGATGAATAAAAATTCAAACACGCAAAATGAAAACATTCATTTCGATTCATATTTTATTTAAAATAAATGACAGAAACATTTTACTGTCTATAGACGTCAATAATAATATTGGTTGCAACAAAGATATAACCGTTTAGATAATATGGCTACGTTGTGTATGGTTTACTTAAAATAACAGTAAGCATGTAGAAGTGAGTACCTCGGTGGCGTAGAGGATAAGCGCCGCGGCCCGCGATCGTAGTCGTAGGATGGGTGACCAAAAAATTTTTATCTCGAGCTACTCCATGCTTCGGAAGGCACGTTAAGCCGTTGGTCCCGGCTGCATTTGCAATTGTTAATACCCTCCAATCCGCATTGGGCCAGCGTGGAGGGTCATGGCCCATCCTCCTTAACCATCCATAAGAAAGGCCTGAGCCCCTGCAGTGGGGACGTAAAAGGGCTGGTGATGATGTAGAAGTAAATAAATAAACTAACCGGCAATCAATGAGTAGCGCATGGTCCTTTTTTCCCATGGCCGCGATGTACTGGTCCATGATACCGCATGGCATGCCTGGAAACTCATGTTCTGCTTTCTGGCAAAGTTTGGCTTTTTGAATTGGACTGCAAAAAAATATTGACAGGGTAATAAAAAACAAACTTTTCTTCTTGCGCCTTCGTCAGCGTGAACTTATATTTTTTTAAATTAAAGTTCACGCTGACGAATTAATCCCGGTATAAAGTATAAGTATAAGATTATACCGGTCATTCATTAAACTTTGCATTGTCCCTCCATGGCTGAGTGGCTTGCATGCCAGTTTACCACTAAGGTCACGAGTTCGATATACACTCGGATCAATATAGAAACTTTTGTAATTTGTCTTGAGTCTGGATATTGTGGGAGCTTTGTTGTTTCAGATTTCCATAATACAAGGGCATTGGATAGTTCTCCTGGTATCTAAACAATTTAATAATAATAAGTTAAGTAATGTAATCTATCAGTTTTATATTATTTAACTATTATTACCAAAATAAGAGTTTCCCCGATTGATTTTATCGAGCTGCGAGCATGTTCGACAATCGTCCATTAAATTAAAGCGTCATTACCGATACAAATTTTCAAATTTAGAACATCCATTAGAGCTTAAAGTCGTCATTAAACTTTAATGGGTGTTTGTGAAACTCGGCGTCAGCTGATCAAAGAATATTGTTTGATTAAACTTCAGTCATTGATCGATAATTGATTCGTGCCATTAACTATTATCTAATGAAACTAACAAGTACTTGAGAACTTCGAAAATCTCCATGAGATCTATACAATTCATGGGTTTTCCTACTTAAAACTGTACTGAAACAAATACTGGGCAAAACGAAATCTAAACTCATAAATTAACAAAATTAACTATTATTTCATATAACTAAAATAGATTTTTTTTTTTACTCGTATTTGCCAGAACTCTCGCAGATTATTATTGTAATAAAGTTATCATAAGCATTTGAAATTGAAAGTTTTAACGAGTTTCATCACTTTTGACCCTTCTTCCCTAATGTTTCTTTGCGTTATTAGTTATTAAACGTAATTGCTTTAGTGAACGGATGGGACAAAGAGATCAATAACCGCGTCTTTTCATGGTAGGTACAATGCCTGTTAATTATCTTGATAGAGCTAATAACGACATAGATCAAAGACCTGTGATACAATTTAATTGTACCTCTTGTTCACTGACAAAATAAGTAATATTATAAAGAAAATACGATATCTTATAGAACAATATCCTTTATGGTAGTTAAGGCCTTCTTTTGCTTCCTCTTACGTTCCCATAAAAATACGCATGGAATGTAAAGACGCGCTCGTTTGATTTCATACACGTTTAATCACAGAAAAAACAAATGCAGTTAATAAAATTCTTCCGATCATTTTAAATTATATCAAACCCTACTTATAAACAATTGAGATTAAATATACTAACTTCGATCCAAAAAACATATTAAGAGAATCATCTTTGTGATTTTTGGCTATCGAGCCAATCTTTTGATTTAAACCTATTGATTTTTTGAATTACTTTTATTTCGAAAATATTAACACAATTTTATAATAAAATTGGTTTAAAAAGTGGCAAATCCGTTAAATCTCGCCATATAAGTCATACAGGTAAAGCGTGCGTCGCGCTAGCTTTTCGGCCGCAATTTCGCCCGCATGGTATTCAGTTATTATCTATTATTTCTATGTTGAAACCTAATAGTGTACCGAACATTCAAATTGGTTCAATAGTTTAAGGGTGAAAACGTAATACAGATACAGACAGAGTTACTTTCGCATTTATAATATTACTATGGATTAGTTCACCCGGCGCACTGTACTTCCTTTAAATTTTAACAGCTAGGAATATATCGTATGATTAAAAAGAGAAAAAGAATTTTGTAATTATTTCCAAATAACCCGAATTGAATAAACTAAATTCGTAGACAATGTACACCTCTGACCGTCTGTCCGTTGATTACAGTTATCGTGAAAAACTATTGCGTGATTGTGTTGAAATTTTACACATTATAATAGACAAAAAATATTCCAGCAAATAAATAATCTCACTTTTTATGAAACCAGTTAAAATATACCACAATAATAATAATATTTTGAAACCTGGTAGTCTTCTAATTAAACACCTTTGCTTATCAGCAAATTGTTGCAATTTGCTTATAGGCAAGAAACATTTTATGATGGTTAAATGTGGCATCGATAAGTACTATACTTACTGTACAATTGCGCCTGTAAGTTGTTCAAGTAGTGTGAAGACGGCGACCTCTAGTGATGCACTGCTTGACAGACCAGAACCCATCGGTACATCTGATACTATTACAGCATCGAAGCCTTGTACATTACCTATAAAACATATACAAGCTATAGGGCCTACTCTGTTTCGAAAAACAAAATTTCGCCCGTTTTAGAAACGCTAAAAAAACACATTTTTTGATAATTCATGATGCAACAAATTATCTCACGAATATTTATCTCACGAATACGAGATATGTTGCAAGAGAGACTTACTCTGTTTACTCATGAAGAAGAAAAACCTTCTTAGGGGCCGTCCATAAATTACGTCCCACGTTATGAGGGGGGGGGGGGGTCGACACACTGTGACATTAGAAAAATATTTAGTAGAATTTGTATAGACAAAAAGGTGACATGAGGGGGGGGGGTCACAAATTATGCATTTTGTGTGACGTAATTTATAGACGGCACCTAAGAAGGTATTTCTTCTTCATGAGTAAACAGAGTAAGTCTCTCTTGCAACATATCTCGTTTTAAATTAGTCTATTTAAATATTCTTTCTTTTTTCATAAACTATTTGAAATAATAATTTTTCTATGTCCCCACATGAAACTTCATATCTTAATTTATAATAGCGTGGATTTACTTTCACCTGGGTAATTAGCAACGACTCCTTTCACATAATTAGCCCAGGCGGGGTTGCCTGGCTTTAGAGACGCCACATTTGGAGCTGTGAAACTTGCCGTTAATGTTTCCCCAGTTACTAAAACGGTTATTATATTACATACATTGGTATCATTAGTTGCTCCCACAATAACCGTCAGAAATGGCAGAGCCTGCAACAAAAAAAACAGTGCAATTTTATGACATTTATTTATGTGATTTTGTTGATTTGTGGCTACCCTTGGCATCCGTGTGATATCACAACTAGACACCAAAGTGGATCCTAGACTATCTTCGTATGATTAATATCGCAGCTGTAGGCTGAATGAGATAACAGTAATTCATGCACATTATTTTCTAGCATCGCTAGAGTTTGCTAGCGAAAATGTCGGCTAAAGGGCTATGATGAAAAAAATACATCATTAAACAGTTCGCTATTTTGAATAGTCCGCTATATTTTATTTTTTTAGCACTCTCTTTTTTATGATCTCTTGTGCTCTCTTTTATATATATTATGAAAGTGCTAAAAAAATAACAAAATACCCATCCTGGGCTTTTCGCCATATTTAGCACATACATTTAAAATTGTGTAATTTAACTAATAATGCACTATCATTTAAATTAAACTAAGCATAAATGAAAAAATCAGTTGCAAAATTTGACAAATATTTTCAAGTTAAAACCAATCGTAAGTATTTTAATAAACACAGTAAATAATTTTAAGTGAATTTACAATAAGGCGATCTTCTCCAAATATGATTTAAAATTAATCCATAAATATAATTTAAACGGATCAGATGTTTCCAAAAACCGAAAACAAAATAATTCGATGATAAGAATTAGAAGTGTCTTATTAAATTATTAGAAGGCAACATCGGAAACTTCCAATAGAAAGCATTTACAGATGAACGAATCTTCCTTCGGTCCGACGATCTATAATTACTTTAACTTTGTATATAATAAATCATTGGGTATTGAGTTAAAGTATTGAGATATTTGGTTAAGCATTAATTAAGATCTGTGTAGTAGTTAATGCAAATTCTATAGATAGTATAATATCATTTTCTTCGCACTTTAAAGATTTGATAAAACAATAAAAAACGGTTTTAAATAATATGTATATTTCCTCTACTTCATTTTTAAGGCGTTTCAGATGCACCCACTTCGTGTTACCTACACTGAGACGTTAATCGCAGGGCTTGCGAATGGTTCAAATTATACCTTTTATAAAGATTATTAACGCTCTGGGGTGAATCGTTTCGCAAGTATTATAATCACCGAGATTAACCAGACAGTAACAAGATGGAATATCAACTACTTGCTATCTCTTAAAATAACGGTTTATAACGGAGATGAGTATTTTTAAATGCCATTAACTTTCTTAACGTTGTTGTTATTTACTTTTTTTTACTGTGTCATGACAAAGTGATTGCAATAATCCTGATGGAAAGTGATATTACAGTCTAATAATAGTAGTCGTAACCGCTCCCGGCAGCCATTACTATCTATCTAAACTGCTTAAGAGCCTCTTCACGCCTCTTTTGAAGAACTTAAAGTTGTATGTAATTGAAAACACGTGGATTGATAGACAAAATAATTCAAATAATAACTTCAGTATTACCAGAATATTGACTTCAGTATAAGTATGTCTTAAGTGTTTTTTTTTTCAAATTATTAAGCAGAGAGTAAGTCAACTACTGCTTATAGTAAAAATATCACAATATGTCAATTTTTTGCAATGGATTTTGACATCTACCCTCGATATATTAAGGTTGAAATCGAGTGGGGAAGCTTGACAATTTTCGGCTGGATGTGATTATAATTCGACAACCTCCATGGCTGAGTGGCTTACACCCTCTTCAAGTCACCATCTCTAAGATATCGGATTCGATTCCCGATCTGGATAATGTTATACAATTTGTTTACTTGTATTTTTCAGTAGTTCTTTATTAATGAACTTTTTTATCAATAAGTATTGTGTAAGCGTTCGGCTTTTCCTAAGCTTTAATTTAAAACAAATTGGTAAATTCTCGCTTCGATTTCTTGTGACGTCATCGGTTATAGATACAAATCGTCGTAGAGAATCGTCACTTGTTTTTATTGATTTCTTTGTTCTTCTTCTTTTGTTCGGAAAGATGGGTTTTCAAGGGGGTAATAACATTTCACGAGAAATAAAGATAGAAGTAGATCAGTAATTTATTTGTATACCTGAAAAATGTGAAATTTTGTCTCTTTTGTCCCAAAAATATTGTTTTTTATTCAATTAGAACCCCTCCAAATTATCGTAACGTGATTCTTAATTACCACAATGGCAGTTCAAAAATTCAACAAACTTCATTTAAAGTCGGGTGATCGAAGGCATTGATTGCGGATCCTCTCGAAAATTCTAAAATTTAAAGCTCCCTTCCGACTCCCCCATCAGATCAACTCATTACATATTAATATTGCATTGTGCAAGTTATGTAAGTAAATTTAAACTCAATAGAAAACCGAAAAATGTGTCAAAAGCAAGTGTAAATAGCGCACGAAGAAAGAAGTGAAAGCAAATTATTAATACTGATATTATACACAGGAGAGATTTGATTGTTTATTTGTTTGTTTGTTGCATAGAATAGGCTCCGACACTACTGTATCAATATGAAAAATTATTTCACCTACGGGTAGATACGTCATAGGCTATAATTTACTCGTGCGAAATCGCGGGAAAATAGCTACTTTATTGATAAAAGAGTATTTAAACATGAAAGCTACTAAAGGAATGGTTCTTAGAAAAGCTCATTCGGTACTAATCCGACTTATTTATTGTATTCGAGTGATCCATTGAAGGACGTAGAACTGCGTGCTAGATTATACTGGTCTATTTTTGTTTCGTCAAGAAAATAACATAATTACTGAGCTTATACTGTAAGCAACAGTATCTAAGAATATACTTTAAATTAAATAAGATTGTATTTTCCATGTCATTGGTAACAAGGACAGCATTGTCATAGCAACACACTTAGACAGCATCAAAGTATGACATAGATTATATTACAGAAACCAATCACTTCTTATAGGGTAGCTTACAGGGTAGCGTGTGCGTGTGCGTGTGCGTGTGCGTGTGCGTGTGCGTGTGCATATGCGTGATTGCGTACATTGGGGTGCTTTTTGTAATGAAACTTTTTAAAATGTTAATTTCCAAGTAGAACAATATTTTATTAAGCATTATTTTCACCAAGTTGTTTATTGTTTACCAAATGTTGTAATAGTCATCCTAGTTTGCTCACATTCAACCTAAGACGGTTCTCCTCTCTTCCTTCATTGTTACACCTAATTTCACCATTTATGTTTTTTTTTATGGGATGGGGGCAGACGAGCAGACGGATCACCTGATGGTAAGTGATAACCGTCGCCCATGGACACCTGCAACACCAGAGGGGCTACAAGAGCGCTGCCGGCCTTGGAGGGAAGGGTTGAGAGGTAGAGGGAAGGGAATAGGGAGGGGTTGGGCCTCCGGTACCCTCACTCACACGACGAAATACAACGTAAGCGTTGCTTCACGTTGATTTTCTGTGAGGCCGTGGTATCACTCCGGTCGAGCCGGCCCATTCATGCCGAAGCGTGGCTCTCCCACGGTGACTAACCTAACTGTTGCTTTTACAAAGGCAATTTGTTTCCGGCACGCCTTGTTTGTCATACACATACCTAACCTACATGTTTCTGTTGCTATACTCAGACAAAAAAAAAATATATCAGTGTATAATAAGGAAATTGACACATTAAAGAAACGTTATTCATCTAATAGTTGTGTAGCCTAGTGAAAGATTGGACAAATAATAAATTTCATAGGCGAAAAGTTGGTTGGCAATTAAAATCGGTCAAAAAATTTTCGGCGATAAGGCAGGATCCCATGTGTACCTCTACCAAGATCAGCAAAGTGAAATATGTGAAAACTTATTAGCTGATGGCATTTAAGTCAACATAGAATGCTCATCAGACTGAACGACTTTCGTTAATGCGTCGTTCCTTTAAATATTATAGTGATGTTGAGCCCTTAGAGATCATCGGATGGTTCACATCTTTGAATTTTAATCGCGCAAAAAAATACTCATCGGACTCAGTCCTGTATATGTTTTAGTGTTAATGGTCTCTTAGTTTCTTACATCACATGTTTCAGATCTTCAATTTTTATAAGTCAACAGAAAACCCTCATTACTTTGAATAACTTCTGTTGAGATATCGTTTCCATATATATTATAGTGCAGCGGACTCTGAAGAATTACACGTAAGATGTTTTATTTTACAAATTTTAATCACGTAGCAAAATATGCTTATCATGTGGAACAGTTTTTGCTATAGCACCATTTTATCTCTTGCTGTTTCGTCGGTCTCTTAGAGTTCCATATGATGGAGAACAGAAATCATAATTAATAATAACCTAAACGGTGCCTAGGAGTGATAGCTTCAAAAAAAAGAAGAATTATTTAAAACCATTTTAATAGTTCCATAGATTAGCGCGTACATACAAACAGACACAAAAAACTTTATAATCATTGAGCTGTATTCTA